TTTTCTTTGGGTACTCGCTGTTCAAGCAGGCGGAGTGAGAAAGGCGAATATATGCACTGAGAGATTAATTGGACAAGATGATGTTATTGATACGCGAGATAACGGGTGTCCTTCGCATCTTACCCGGATGTCAAGATCTATCCGAACTGATTTCTAGCGTCACGGTAGCTCATGATATTTTCCAGCTATTCAATTGCGTATTCAACAATTGCTGTAGTGGATCGAATGCATACCTATATGTCCCCACTCCTCCCCTCTTGAGTCTTTTCCTCTATTCTACCTCAGGCTCTTCCAACACAAGTATCAAATACAAAGACAATAACGTTATTTCGGAAGAAGCTCTATTTGCAAGCATGGTTTGAAATCTTAAATCCCTTTACCCTGAAGTCATAGGCACTAACCAATAGCGAGCAGTTCGTTCGACGTTATTGCGTTACGGTCTTGCTAAGCACCCGTCAAACAGAAATAGAGCTTTATAATCTGGACTGTCCCCCATTCACGTGGGTTAAGCTACGCTCCTTAAAGAGAAACAAAAGAAAGGCCGTGAACTTTGAAGTATCCTGCTGTTTTCATCATCACTTATGTCCGACCAAAAGCCAATTACTTTATACACTGCGTTCACTCCCAATGGTATGTACATAGCTGGCATAGTGGTTCTAGCTCCAAGAGACTAATTACGATTGAATACTTTCAGGATATCCCATTTCCATCGCTTTAGAGGAGCTCGGAGTCCCTTGTGAGTTTATTCTCAGAAAACCTATATGGCATACATACAAATACTGAGCTAGCCTCTGATAGACCATGTGAAGGCGATTTCCTTCAAAGAAAACGAGCAAAAGAGCGAATGGTTCTTGAAGATCAACCCTAATGGTGATTATATCCCTACGCTTAAATTATTACAATATCACTCATAATATATGGTTGCTCCTAGGTCGTATCCCCGCCATCGTCGATCACAAAAATAACGACTTCGCAGTCTTCGAGACCTCAGCAATCTTATTATGTGAGATACTCTAGTTT